GTTGGGAATGGAACTTGTTCTTAAACTTAAACTGGTGACTACCTGTATGTTGTAGCTACTAGTTAAATATCTCACCTAACTCATCTCCTTGTAATGGCATATGGAATTAAGTTATTTGTGGTTAAATATACATGGGTAATAGAATCTGCTGTTTAGTGGAAGATTTATGCAAATGATTTTTTGTGTTTCACATGAATGGATCTTATAGATTGTAAGTTTCATTGATTATGTAATTACACGATAACCTGGTATTTGAAAGCAGCAAGCAGAATAGAAACGTCTGATTTAATGGCCATATAGGAATGCTTAATACCTTATTCAGTTAATAAAACTTTCCTGCAATACAAATAGAAATGCGTTTTATAGTTACTATTTTGTTCTGAAATTTTACTTTTTATAGCATTTGATTACTAATATATAAGCATATATCTGAATTTTACCATTATTGCATAATCCATTTACTGCTACTGTCTTAAGTGTAGTTTCACCATCCATGGCTTCTTTTTGGTGGTTCCTTTTTTTTCCTGTATATTTACTTGAATGTGTGCTGCTATCTATATTTGAACATTTGTGCACTACTTTAGTGGAGTAAGGTATCATTTGATTTATGTTTTAAAATGCATTGATGTCAATAGTTGCATTATATTAATTTTTGAGCTCAAAAAGTGATTAGCTTAAAAAACAGAATAGTTAAGAAGGAAGGAATAGGTAATAGAGGTATAAAAATCAGTTAAGATCTGATTTAAATTTGAGATTTAAAAGTGGCATAATTAAATCTGAATTAAGGCTTCAAAGGCAACTTAATCTTAACCGATTGGAGATTCAATTTAGAAAGAAATGGACAATAAGCTATAATAGCAAAAAATACAAGTGTGTGCAACTACTCCATTTAAAATATTTTTTTGGCAGAATGATGAAAATAGGAAGGATGGTATACCCTTTGGAGGACAATCATCCTGCAAAATTTCAGCTGGATAGCTACAAGGATTTGATCATAACACATTTTTGGAATATTCCCCTAAAGAACATTCCCATTTTATGCAGAGATAGCAGGGATGAGGAAGCAGTTTCCAAATTGTCAAGCAAAGAACCTATTTAAAAATGGTGCTGAAATACTCCTTGTGCGTCATTCCCATTCCCATTCCTTCTCTCTCTCTCTTTCTCTTGTATGTCGCCCATTCCCCAAGCTCTGAGCATCTAACAGTCAGAAACATAGGAAAAAAGCCCTCAATAAAAATAAATAAATCAACCAAAAATAATCTCAACAATATTGTAAGGGAATAAAAAAGAGGACAAAAAACATAATGTGTCTGTTACTGCTTCCCAGTGTTCAAAGCTTGCCTTCCCCCAGGCCAAATGGGGAAGCCAGGTCTTTATTCCTCTCAAGAAACCCAGATGGGAAGAGGTAGACTGGATCTGCGTGGGGGTGGGGGGCTTTCCACAAATGGAGGCAGCAATAAAAAAACGCCCATTTTCAGGATCCTGTCAGATGGCATTCTTGGAGCAATAGTACCTGGAGGGGTACTGACCCTGTTTGATCTGATTGAGTGGGCGAATGGCTGTGGGAGAAGGCAGTCCTTTATCTGGTCCAGAAAACCAGCACCTTGAATTGCACCCGGAAGCCAACTGGCAGCCAGTGCAGCTCCTGAAGCAGTAGGTCACTGGAGTGTAATAGGAAACACCTGTTGCTGCACAGCCCACCACTTTTTGTGACAGCTATATCTTCTGAATGCTTTCAAAGGGCAGCCCCACGTAGAACACATTAGTGGTATTCCAAATGGGAGGTGACTAGGATATAAGTGACTGTGAGCAGGACTTTCCAATCCACAAATGGTTGCAAATGATGTCCTCTTGGTCACAGCTGCCACCTGTTCCTCCAGCAGGAGCTGTGAACTCAGGAGGACCACAGAGTTGCAAATCATCTCAGTGGGGAACTCCAGTCTTGTTCAGAGTCAGAGAGAGTGCTATCCTGGAATCATTTGGCTCACAGACCCAAGACCACTTTGTCTTGGAGGGGCTAAGCCTGAGTCCGTTTCTCCCCATCCATATCTGATGCCCCCCACCAGCACTGGGTCAGCATTTATACTGTGTATCCCAACACTGGGGGTGGCTGGTTTCCTTGAGGATGCTCTCTCCATCTTTTAACTTTATCTGTAGTCTTTTAATGTGTTTTGTAGTTTTTAAATGTTTTTTATGGTTTTTATTTGTGAGCTGCCTAGAGTCACTGATAGTGAGATGGGTGGTGTATAAATTTGATTTATAAATAAATAAATAAACAATCTGGGAAGTGTGTGTTATTACTTTATAATAACTTTACAATTTAAGAATTAGACTGATCCATATATAATACAGACTAACAGCAATAACACTATTCCAGGCACAGTTACACTACCTGCACCTGCATCTTACTGTTTTTAAAATTGTCATAGCATTTATGACATCTTTTTCATCATTTTTTTCTTGGATATTAACTTTACAGCAGTTGTTTCACTTCTGCTGTTTGTTACAGTACATCATTATCATTCCCATACAAATCTTTAAAATACTCCTTCCAGCATTCTCACTTAAGTTTCACTACAAATCATTTCATTACTTCTATTTTTAATTCCATTCACTCTGCAGGACTTTAGCCCTCTTTGCTCACTTCCAAAACAATTTTTATTTCATCAAAATAATGAATTGTTTTGCATTTTCTCTTTTAATTTTAACTGCTCCTTGACAACATACTTTGCAACTATTGTTTCTCTCTGTACACCTTACAGTACACAATACCTTTCTCTTACCCTCATTTTTTGCAGCAATCTTATATGTGTTTTTTTCTCACTCACCGCCAATTTCACTTCATCATTCCACCAACCATGCTTTTTCACTCTTAAACTAAATCTGAATACTTGAGTGGCACTCTGTAACATATTTTTTCACTTTGTTCCAAGCAGTTTTCCACATCCTCTTTCTTATATCTACTTTCTATTGATTCTGTTGAGAGATTAATTTATCTTCTAGTACTTTCTCATACAAAACTCATACTTTCTCTTTCTGCAGTCACTCCACTTTCACTCATGTTTCTTTCATTTCTTCCTTTTCCATTCTTAACACTATAGAATAATGATCTGTCCTGCGATCAGAGCCTTGTTTCACATTTGTATCCTTCACTAATTCTCTCAAAAAAAATTTGCTCATGAACAAATGTCATTCTTTAAGATTTACAGGTACTCCTCAACTTATGACCACAATAGGGACCGGAAAATTTGTTGTTAAGCCATGCAGTCATTAAGCGAGGCATCACGTGACCCCACCTGATCTAATATATTCTTAGTTCTCTAAATGGCACAATCACTTTTACTATATTCTCATCTTGTTTCCACCCATCTGTTCATGTCCTCTAACAATAGTTCCCCCCCGGATCGCATTCATTCAGAATGTTGTATGATTTTCTCCCAACTCATATTTGGTTTTTCATTAACACTATTCACTCTAACATGAGCTGTCAGCAACCTATGGATTCGTACTTTCATATGAAACCACAACGTGTATGACATCAATTAATACTTTTGACATATATTTTAATCTCTTCATTCATAATTAAATGTACACTACCTTACACATTTTCATCAGCTCTGCTCTGTAGGTTCAAACTGCCCATAATCAGATCTGTTACATCATTTCCCAACTGCTAATTTATTTACAGGAAAGCACATTTTTGTCTAACTCTAAATTATCACTTCATTAGAGTGAGTTTTATGAATAAACAGTATCAAATACACAGTGAAGCTGAGGATATGAAACCTTTTTGGGCTTGTGGGCATGTTTGAGATACTAAGAATGTGTTATGGTCACCACTATGCAACAACAGTTTATGAAATATTGCTCTTTGTTCTCTGCCAGTCAGTTTCCATCCCCACCCCATCTTGTCCAGGAATTAGACTAAAGGAAGGAATGAAACACACAGAGACAGAAGTGTGGAGAAAATATGTTAAACCATACACATCCCCCCATCACATATACCCCTTTTCTGCTTTTCCTTGCATGACCTCTTCTGTTCTCTTTCCACCACTACTAATATTGCAGTCTACAGGCTTTCGGTCTGATTGGGTCTGCTATCCACTTTTCTAGTTTTCCTCCTTCATGGCCACTATCTTTCTCTTTTCTACCTTGATTTTTTTCTCCTTTCCTCTTTCACCCTCCCAGTGTTGTGGCTCAGTTGATCCCCTTCAGAAATCTTTTGCTACTGCCAGTCAGAATAGTTAATCTCAAACCGCAAATGAATGGTTCTGATCTCATGGTAGCCCACAAAAAAGAGAATGGATCCCTCAGTGTGCATTGAGAGATTCTGATTTATGAAGTAATGTGGTTGACTATGAAAATTAAAACTGATGCTGATCTTCCTTCAAATTAAAGTTAAGCCAGTTAAATAGGAAAATTACTAAAATTCACTAATAAAAGTATTTCTCGTAGTGTTGTATGTAATACTTTGAGTTTAAATTGTGTTGCTTGAAATGATCTTTTTCAGCAACTTTGGAAAAGTCTTGAGTTCAGAAATGTTTACTAAATGAACCCAAACAGCAGTTTCATTTAATAGTTTCGTACTCAAAAGGGGGGTGTTTTGAATTTGAAACAGTTGAAATTCAAAACATTTTGATTGATTGATTGATTGATTATGTGCCATCAAGTCATTTTCGACTTCTAGCAACCACATAGATAAATTTTCTCCATGATGATCTATTCCTAACCTGTTCTTTCAAGTCTCCGAACAGTTCACTCATCGCCACTGAAACTGAGTCAGAATATTTTGGTAATCCTAGTTTCTTGATTCTAGCTCCTGAGTATATTTCTTAATTAATCAACAGTCACAGCAAATTTATTGGCATAAATTAACATCCATTCTCCTTCAACTGTTGAGAAATAAATAAAAAATGTTTATAGGTTTTATAAGTAACTTAGGGAAATTTTATTTTACTGTATAATAATTTGTGATATTTACACTTTGCATTTTTCTCTAGTATCCCAGTCCCATGGAGAAAAATGTTATTGCTGTAAAAACAGTAGAAGAGAAAACAGGTAAGCATTTTTAAAAATGTGTAGCACTGCCCAACTTAGCCTTGATTCAGTAAACTGTGCTCTCGTAAATTATTGTTTAGATTTTTATTTTATTTATCGTGTTTGTATAGCTGCCCATCTCACATAAAGCGATGATTACCGCAATGTGTTATGTGTGGGACTACCCTTGAAGATGGTCTGGAAACTTCAGGTAGTACAAAATACAGCAGCAGGAATATTGATTAGAACTTGGCATTGTGAAATATTAGGTCAATTTTCCATATTATTCTCTGGCTCTCAATTTATTTCAATCCTCATTCAAGTGCTGGTATTAATCTGTGAAGCCCTTCAGGGATGAGACCACATTATCTGAAGGAATTTTATTTATTTATGTATTTATTTGAATGTATAAGCCAACTCCAATGGACTCTTCCTAGATGTTTCTACCTGTGTCCTAAGATTATCTTCAGAAATGTCTGTCCCAGGCCAGACATTCACACACACACATGCACACACATTGGGAAGTAAAAGTTTTACTTAAAATTTAGTAAATATAGGCAGTGACAGGCTGAGCTTGTGTGAAAACACATCCACAAAGCAGCAAAGCCTCAAATCCCTAGAGAGCTTGCCTACAATGAGTTCCGAATGGCCAGAGTCCAAAGTGGGGAGCAGAAGCATAGTCAGGTCACAGTTCAGAAATCCAAGAATCCAAATATATGTATCCAGGACCCGGTTTCAAGAAGTGGAGTTTTCTCAGGCAACAGGTTCAGGATGCAAACACACAGTATTCCAGCAAACAGAGCGGTTATTCCCACAAAGAACTGCTGGACAGCAATGGCTCTTAAATGGAGTCTGCGTGAGAGACACCAATCTCTTCTGTTCTAGAGCTGGGAGGAGGTCCTGGATCCAGCCTTTCATCTGCCTCAGCTCAGCCATGTCAGCCTCAGGTGCCTAGTCGCTAGGCTTCCTTGAAGGCTGATATTTGTCCTGGGCATCTTGACCATCTTCCTCCATTTCAGACTTTTGAATCTGAGCTGGCCATCACAAGAGATCCTACTGTTACTGTTCTTGCTGAGGTGTGACAAATGGCCATCAGGCTGAAGCCTTTTCCATAGCAGCCCCCATGACTCTGGTGTTGATTTTACTGCCTTCTTGGCACCAAGCAAATATGTATTAATGCTCTCAACTTTTTAATGTATTAATGTTAATTTTAAATTTACATGTTACATGGAACACTAATCTGGTGGCTGTTTTAATTTTTTTATTGTATATTTTAATTCAGTTTCCTTACAGTTTTTACACTGCAATTTTAATGCATTGTAAACTGCCCTGGAAAACTTAGTTTTGAAAAGCCATATACAAAATAGATTTACTTCCTTTTTTGTTTAAAATGCTCAAGAAAATGTTCAGTTAATTTCATGTAATTGTGAGAACATATTCAGAATTAGTCTGCAATACCTATTTAATGTTCATCCACTCATAGAAATACTGTATACACAGAACTTTATAGACAATCTGACTTTGCTTTTAATTAGTCTAAGAATATTTATGAGATGATGCATACTGTAATGCTGGCATAGTAATTTTTACATCTAAATGTACAAAATACTTTGAAGTGATAGTAATTTAAATCTGTTCCAGTTAAGTTTCTGGTCTAATTTTGGAAATGAATCGTCTAGTTTTCTGGGTAGATGGTCTGTGTTAATAGGCTGGAGTGGCAAATGAGTATAATGCTGTAGGTTGTCCTAGATCTTTTGGCAGCGAGTTTCCATCAGTCATGTTGTCTTTTGCACTGCTGTATTTTTCTTTGATGTAATTGAAAAGTACTGTCAGGACTTCCAGAGCACCTAAGCCTTTATAGTTTATTTTTAATCAGAATATGTTTGCTTGTCTTTACCTTGTACAGATCCCTGTGATGCTCTCTCTATATTTTTGATAGTCTAGAGTTTTCAGACAAAGTTAATCAGTGTTTGTCCTTCCTGCTTCCAAGCTAGCTAATAGCTGTTTGTCCTTTGTGTCCATCTACAGGGCCCACCTTCTTTGCATGCATCTAATAAACATCTTTTCACCTCCCTTCACAAAAGGAAAAGGCTTGTTACATTAATCCCTCATCATCCATCCATCCATCTCCCTCCCTCCTCTCCTCCCCCCTCCT